AAGCTCTCATACACACCAAAACGCGCTATAAGTGTCACATATTTCATCCCTGTATTCGAAATCTTAACTCTCCATTCTTGCATCTTTTTGGAAAATCATTGATATATTTGTGTCTCTCATGAGATTTCTAAGCTTGTGGCAATATTTAATTTCATTTATATGGACTGTAATCTCATAACAGCATGGCTAGGGTTTCTTGTTGGATTTTAGGGATTTGCGTTTCAGGTGAAATTGAGTCTCGTGATAGACATGGTTGCACTCAGGAGAGGGAGGTGAACCTAACCATGCCTTTGGGGGTCGTTTTTATGGCCTGGAATTAATTTTGGGATCGACCTGCGCATTTAGCTGCGGATCTAAATCCGCAGGTAAAGTTACAGGGGCTGGAGGTTGGGGATGGAGATGTGTCAATCCCCATGTGGTTGATTCAAACACGCGCGCCTTTTTTTTTATTTTTCTGGCATATTAATCCATTATCTCTTATTATTATTACTTAATATATTAACAAATAGAACACATTGGCCTAGTGGCAAATAAGCGCTGGCAACATCCACAGGACCTGGGTTCGAATCCCAGGTCCTTCACTTCTTTGTTATCTTTATTTTCCAGGTAATCCTGTGTATCTCCAAGCATGATGCCTATTATATGTCCTCAAGTATCAAAGCGCCAGATGGCCCAAGGCCAAATCTGGTGATCCAGAGATGATGGTCCACCATGGGACCAAGTCAAAAGGCGCATAGGGAATCCAGAAAGTCAGTCAGGCCAGCGCCTAATGGGCCTCAAATTGCTATTCTGAACCTCTTATTCAGGCCCAAACCCCCCTATCTCTCTCTATTTTATATTTTTTTGTTTTAATTATTTATTGTTATTATTTTTATTATTAACTAACCAATCTTTTTCTTTATAAAATTAAAACCAAAAAAAAATATTTTCTTTATTAAATTAAATTTCAGTATTTTAATTTTTATTAACAAATATTAATTTAATTAATTTAGGCCATTAATTAGGAATAACTTTAATATATTTTTCAATAATTAAAATCAATTAGACATAATTAGGTTTTACTAACATTAATTAATTTTTATTTCTTTCTTTAAATAACAAAAAAACCCAATTTTTTTTTTACTAATTAGTTTAATTAATTTAATTTGATAATTAATTTAGGATAGTTCCTTTCTTAATTCAATTAAAAACAATTAAAAAAAAATCTTTTTTCTTTAACAAAGGGTCAAAACTCTAGAACTCGCACTCGATTTAATTTCCCGCACGCGATCCATTTATTCAATATTGTATTTGTTTCTGGAATGTAATAGATAATTAGGACTATCTTTATCGCTTTATTTATTTTTCTGCATTTAAATTTCAAAGGGTTGCTTTTGGCGATGTAAATACCCGACGCCTTGTAATTTAATTTCTGCAATTTATTTCCCGTAAAATATAACTGTTAGATGTTTGATAATAGGTTTGCATGACAAGATTGAATGTTTAAACCTAAAATCAATTTAGATCACCATTAACATGTACAAAGATAAAATTAACTGAAAACGAAACACTCGCACATGCGCACTCTTAGGGTACACCCCACTTGGTTGCCTTCGTAACACGGTCATTAAGTATAGGTCACTTTAGAGGTCGCCCTCTTGTCTAAAAGATCATAGTCGCCTCGAAATGTTTGCCTCGGATATTGTTGCCTCAAAACAAATGATCTAAGACATTAGGGTTACCGCTAAGGCGTCCTAACATTGCTTTGGTGACCGTAAGTCCCTCATTCGAATTGACCCTTAAACTCCAACGACGGTGCTACTTACTCATCAATAGTAGGATAGCATTGTCTAAAGGAATATAGCATAGAACGATTCCTTTTTCGAGTAGGTAGATGGTTCTTAAGTACTTGCTCTTTCAAACAAAAACTTTTTCAAAACCCACAAGCACAAAGAAAGCAATTTTGAAAACAATATGAGCAAGTACCTAAGAGCCCGTGGATAACCACTGATAGAAAGGGTGCTAATACCTTCCCTTTCTATAATCTACCCCCCGAACCCGAGAAACATCTCGAAAAAGGAATTTTTCTGTGCTTTTTTCCTTTCCTTGTTGGATAAAATAAAAGTCGGTGGCGACTCTTGCTTACCACGACATTTTGCGAAAACAAACGCAAAACGCAAACCAGCATTCCAAAAAACAGTCAGTTCTTCCCACCGTATCACATGTGATACCATCCTCACTATCTTCCAAACACAACAAAACTTCAACCCCCTGTACAACCTTGCAGTTCTCAATACAAAATCAAGGATAGGAACAACTTCCTGGAGGATCACTGAAGCCATTCTAATCATCACAGCCTCTTGAAAGGTGTTCAAACTCATAACAAAAATTTCAGTTTCAAGGTAAGTCTTCTTGACTTTGAGCTTTTCATTTCAAGCATCATTAGCAATTCATTTTTGAAGATAAATGTAGATATCATACCCTTGAAGCTAACCACATGTTTGATTTTCATTTTTATCAATTATATATTGAGAACTGACTTCTAAATGTAGCAGAGCAATGTTAGAACCATAAAACAGCAGTATGAGTCGACACATGTCTCTATGAGTTAACACATATCAGGCACAAAACAGGTTATGTGTCAACACAAAGTGCGGATGTGTCGATACAAAAGAGGTATGAGTTGATACAACCCTTTATGTGTCGATTCATACTGTGCTATTTTGGATTTCCAAGGGCAAGAAAGGTGTCTGAGTCGACACAAACCCTTATGTGTCAACTCATACTGGTTTGTGTCGACTCATAATGTGTTATTTTTTATTTCCAGGGACAAGGAAGCAGTATGAGTCGACACAAAGCATGAATGTGTCGACACAAATAAGAAATGAGTCGACACATACCATTATGTATCGACTCATACTGTGTTATTTTTTATTTCTAAAAACAAGAATTGTTATGTGCCGAGGCATAAATGCATGTGTCGACACATAATAGGCAAAAAACAATTTTTCTTCTTCTTTTTGCACTATCTTTATATTTGTTTTATATTTTTATTGATATTTATTCAATATGGTTGTAATAATTTAATTAGGCTTGTATTTCATCCTCATTCATAAGCTTGTACCCCCATCTCATATAATTGTAATAGCTTAGGATTTATTTTGTTGTTTTAATTGTTTCTTAATTATGCATATGCCATTCAATTAGAACACGTGACCTCCTCTTGGGCTCATCCTCAATGAAAAGGTATCCACTTACAAATGCACACTTGCACACATTTCATAGCTTGGTCCTGGGCTTTCTTATGGTGACAATTATTTAATCGATTGTTTCGATTGGTCGTTTAGAATACTAGTGCCACGCTAGCCCTACTTTCTAGGAGCATGCACATGGCCACCTTGTATGGGATTTTGATTTTCATCTTATGCATTAAAGCAATTTCTCTCCCCTTGGGCCACATACCAAGCATCTTCTTAAAGGGTCTCATAGTTGAGTTTGGGCATGGACATTCTCACAAGGTTAATAAAGTCTTTCCCTTGATTAACCATAACCCGAATCAACCACTTTGGTCCATATACCAAGTGTTTCCATGCACAAAGGGTCTCATGGTTGAGGGTAGAAGCACCTACTCTCATGAGATTAATCAAGTACACCCATTGGTTAATCATAACCCGATTCAATTCCCATACACCAAACATTCCATTTACGCATTTCATAATACTATTCATTTTATCGTCACTTTTGCCATTATCACCATACATGATCACTCTTCACAAACACCGTCTCTTTTTACTTTATGTTTATAACATGCTCCCTTAGGATGATAGTTTCCTCTTCTTTAAGATGCGAACTAATTAGACCTTAGGAACCCATGCATGACAACATTAGGTTTTTTTTCTCTAGTATCCCTCTTAAACCTTCTTTTCTTTTGTAATTAAGATTAAAACTTATCATTCACAAATCAAAAATCCAAAACATTTAATCATTACTCAGATTTATTCTAAAATTCGCAAAAACACTCAACCAATCAAAACTTGCCAAAGGGCATGTTATCTTCGTTCTACCGCGATACAAGTCGTGCCTATTGCTACAATGTGTGCGTTAACGTCGCCCATTAAAAAACACCAACAAACCAACATTTTCTAGAGGAACTACGGTGTTCTGATTCTTTCACTGGATACGTAGGCAAAGGCTCACGAAACCCTCACGAACGCACTAATAAAAAACCCCTTTCTTTCCCCTTAAGCAAGTATAGTTGTAGATAAACACACCCTTAGAGACAAGCAAACAAAATGGATCTCGTTGAATACAACGGATGTGAGGGGTGCTAATACATTCCCCTCGCATAACTGACTCTCTCACCCTTCTCTTGGTCGCAAGACCATCTTATCCATCCTCTTGTGGTTTTCTCTATATTTCCCCTTTTCTTCGAGATAAATAAAGTTTAGCGGTGACTTTGTGTTTTCTACCGGTAGCTTCAATCACTACACACAACAATAAATCATATAAGTGAAAACCTGTGGAAATGTAGAAAAACAAGTGAAATAATAATGGTCATCCAAGGTCCATAAGTATGTGAGCATTGCAAAGCTATGGAAACCTGTGGAAACCTTTGACCGCCACACAAGTATGTGAGTAACGCAAAGCTCCATCAACAAAAAACTTGTAATGTATTTGAAAAAACTATACAGTAAGTATATAGCCACCACAAGTAAAGATCAAACATTTTCATTGATAAAATTCCAAAATAACAGGGACTGGTTTTAGATTACCCGAGCTGCCAAAATGCAGAGATAATTCAAAAGAAAGCCATATATGCAAGAAAATAGCACCATATACTAATTCAAAACTAAGAATATCCCAAAAACCAAGCAGACCAATGAGTCTTGTCTTAGCAAGGACTCCAAAATATCCAAAAAAATTATATCACACTGCAGTGGAAAAATTAAACATAATAAATTAATTGATACTAGAAGTGATTGAGAAGATATAGAAAATAACACTAAATACCTTAAACTTCTTCAATCATAAACTGTAGGTTGTGATTGAGAAGATTGACCAGCATCTAGTGTAGTAACAGATGGTCTAACTCCTCCTGAAGTGAATGAAACTTGACGAAATTCTAGAAAAAATGACAAATTAAACGGGTTAAAAAACATATGCAACCCAAAAAAATCAGAATACAAAAAGTGTGAATTTCAATGTAAAGTAAGAATACAAGTAACTATGTTTCTATATGTTTCAAACTCTCTTGGACATCCATCTCTTGAAAGAGAGAAGGCATCAACCAATTCTGAGTGCAAATTAAAGCCTCTGTCATATCTGGATTTAGACAACTCCTTAAAGTGTCTAAAATTCTACCACCAGTACTGAAGGCACTTTTAGAAGCTACAGTTGAAGTAGGAGTAGCAAACACATCCCTAGCCATGCTTGATAAAACCGAAAACCTAGAGGAGTTTTGTTTCCACCACACAAGTAACTCAAACTTATCGCCTCCATCAAAGTTAACTTCATCCAAATACCTTTCAATCTCATTTTTCTGATCTATTGAGTTTTTCTCTTTCAAGTAACTATAGTTCTAGCCAATTGTGTTGGTTGCTTTGCTGAAACACTACTTCCTACAATTGAACCCCCCAATGAACTAATAGATGATTGCTTAATCCTATTTTGTTGGCCATGGGCTGAAGCATACCAAACAGACTTATCTTGACTTTTAGACATCAAATTTTTACCAACTTCAGGTTAATGATCATTGTACATTTCAGGGAAAATATACTCCAAATACCTCTACTTATAGAAGGGATCAAGAATTACACCAAAACAAATCAGTTCATTCATGTTCAAAATATTTCCCCAATATTTTTCATATTTCAGTTTCATATATATCCCTATTTGACGCCAAAAAGGATCAAAATCTAAAATTGACATTTTCAACTCAGTCTATATGGTGTATAATTGATGAAATGCAGAATGTATAGTCACATTTGTAGAAGCTGAAAACACCAAAGTATTCAAGATAACTTGAATCTTCAATGTCAAGCTTGTCAACAACAATTTGGAATTTTTCCAGCAGACTCTAACATTAGGTATGTTGAGTTCCATCTAGTAGGAACATCAAGACAAAGAAGTTATTTTTATCTAATTCCAGCAAATCCAACACACTCTTTAAACTTAGCAAGTCTTTTGGGAAAGATCGCACAAACCTCACATCGGTCTTAATTTTAAATATTTATGGTTGATTAGTTTTCAAGCCATCATTCACAACCGAGTTCGGGATATGAGCACAATACCTAACATGCAAATGATCTCCATCTAATACTAACCCGTTCATGTTATTCAGTCTCCTTTTCAGCACCCCCACAGCCACATCATTTGATGATGCATTATCCACAGTAATTGTCGACACTTTTCTAAGACCCCATTTCTTTAAAACCTCCTTCACTTGCTTACCAATGGTATCACCTCTATGGTTAGGAACGACACTAAAGCTTATAATTATTTTAACATAGTTCCACTCATTATCTATGAAATGGGCAGTGAGGACTAAATAACCTAGATTTTGAACAAATGTCCAACAATCTGTTGTGAGTGTAACCCTTGAACAGCATGACCTAAATAATGCCCTCAACCTCGATTTTTCTTCAAGGTAGATCTTTAAAAAATCCCTAGGTATTGTATGTCTTGAAGGGACAACAAAATGTGATTGAAGAGTTCTACAAAGATGTTTGAAACATTGGCCCTCAACTACTCTAAAAGGTTGTTCATCTAAGATTATGAATTTAGCCAGAGCACTCATACAAGACTCAAGATTAAACCTATGGCTTGCTGCCCCCAAACTATTAGGGCCTAAAGTTAACATGGTTTGATTGGGATCATTGCTTATAGCATGGGTACTTTTGGGACAAATTTTACGGTGTGCGAGCATGTTTGTAGTTCCATGAGATTTAGGGTCACATAAATACCTCTTACTAGAGTAGTTGCAAGTGGCGGTTGGATATGCAGCTTCAGACTCGGGTAATTTGGTGAAATGGTCCCAAGCAGGTGGTGTTTTACGAGGACCACTATCATTAGGCTTTCTCTTCTTTGACAGTTTAGGTGGTAGTGCAGCATGATCAACGATATGTTCAACTTCAACAACACGAGTGCTCTTAGTGAAAATAATGTTAGGAGGCTGCTGACTCCCACCATGATCTCCACCATCTCTAATTATTAGTGCTGAAGTGATGGGATTTGCTGGAAAAAATAAAAATAATGGCTTTATAGGTAAGCAAATACAAGAAAATTGAAAAAAAATAAAATCAAGAAAATTGGCTACTTATAATGAAACAAAATATATATCAGTGAGAAGAACTCAAGAACATACAAAAAACCATACCTAAGAACATAAACCACTTCATCATATTGCCAAAAAAAATCTATCATAACTTATCATTTTTCAACATACAAAGATAAAGTTTTTAACTACAAATTAAACAACTTACCATTAACACCATCAGTTTCCATTCTCCAAAGGATCCTTACTCAAGCTTTCTTTGTTGTTATGTTAAGAAGAAGATGTTAACCCCCAAAATAATAATATATTAACCCTAAACAGTGAAAATATTAGAGAACAAAGGAGAAAAATCTATAAAATCTAAAACAATAGCATGAAATATTTGTTCATTCTTTAGCAATATGATGACAGAGGAAAAATGATAAACAAGAACAACGAATAAAGCTTATTACCTGAGATAAAATGAAGACTGCATGTGAGATAAAGAGACGAAGAACAAGATTTAGTGGTAGAAATGTTTAAGACTATATTATTGGATTGATTAGACTTTTACGTATCAAAATAAAATTCACCGCGCTTTATTATTTTCAAAGGAATGAGAAAAAGATCGAATAATTTAAAAGAGAGGAAAATATTCTAGGTAAGGGGATTGGTTATTCAAAGGGAAAGTATTAACACCCTAAACATCTACGGTACTCCGCATGAATTTCCTTGTGAAATATGTATATTTTGCCTATAAAATATTGTATAAAAATAGATTGTGGAGGTGAGAAAAGAAATGTTTTTTATGATTTTTGCACCCGCCGCAGTTGCGAACCTTTAGTGCCTACTATAGCGGTGAAAATCAGAGATCGAGCTATTAATTAACTCGACTCGCAAAAGCAAGAGTCGCCACCGCGCTTTATTATTTCCAAGGGGAAAGGGAAAAGAGCGAAATAAAACCCTAAAACATGCAATGTAAAATAATACTTACAAGTAATGAAAATACAATGTGTTTTTGAAAGAGATCAAGAGTTCGGGGGTTGGTTATACAATGGGAAGGTATTAGCACCCAATGCATCTGCGGTACTCCGCAAGAACCTTTTGGAATATCTGTTTTTGGTTAAAATTGTTTGTTATATACAAGGGTGTATTTATCTACAACTATGTTTGCTTAAGGGGAAAGAAATGAGTTTTTATTATTGCGTTCGTGAGGGTTTCGCGACCTTTTGCCTACGTATCCAATGAAGGAATTAAAACATTGTAGTTCCTCTAGAAAAAAGTTGATTTGTTTGTGTTTTTTAGTGGGCGACATTAACGCACGCATTCTAGCAATAGGCACGGCCGGTATCGCGGTAGAACGGAGATAACATGCCCTTGGGGGCAGTTTTGATTTGTTGAGTGTTTTGCGGGTTTTAAGATATGTTCAAGTAAGGACTAAAGAGTGTTTTTTTTCGGATTTTTTTGGTTTGTTTACTTGTTGATTTTATCTTGCCATACACGCCTAATTACTAGCATTTGTACAAAGTAAATAAAATGCAGAAAGATAAAATCCTACGCTATTACAACCGTATCGAAAGGCATAAAAAATATGAAGGAAAAAATAAGATAAAAGTAAGAAAAATGAGTATCTTTCGATTGAGGGGAAGCAGCCTTCGATTTGCATTCTGTTGGCCTCCTTCGATTGGGGGTTCGCACCAGTGAGGTCATGGCCTTCGATCGGGCTTTGGCACCAGTCAGGTCATGTACTTCGATTGGAGGCTGGCATCAGCATGGGAGCGCCTTTCGTCTGAGTCTGGACTTAGTGCAAGTGTGCCTCTGGCTGGGCCTTTCTGCCTTGTTGCCTTCTTCAATTGGGCCAGTGAAATCAGTGTGAGCGTGTCTCTGGCTGGGCCTGGAAGTCAGTGTGGAAACCAAAGGCTTCGTTTCATACTCATGTTTCCTGTTTCTTTCATTTCAAGCATTAAATGACAACATGGCCTGAGGCCATGCTAGTATTTATATTTCGAACAGTTTAATAATTAAAGCTAGTTCAGGTAAAATGAAAGCAAAACGAAAGGGTTAACTTTTTTATTAAAAAAAATGTTAACAGGGTGGAAACGAAAGGAACAATGGTATATACATGCTTGAAACGAACAAAAAGATTATTTACATGTTATGGAATGAAATGAAAGGTTCAAGGGTAAGAGTGACTTACCTTGATGGAGGCTTTGAATGGGTGTGGGATTCGAACTTGAACTGCTACCTGGACGTTTCTGGAATTCGAAGAATAGTCACAGGGGGTTTGCTTTTGGTTCGAAGGGTTGTCACAGAAGGTTGTCTTTGAGTTTGAACAAACTTCTATGTGTGGGGTGTTCTTCAGAATCGAAAGAGGTGAGTGTTTGGGATTCTGTTTTTTTTATTTCTCAAGTGTTTATGAACTTGAGAGTTTTGTTGTGTTTGAGAAAATTTGGGGGATTCGTTCCTCTGGTCCAAAGATCCTCCCTTAAACATGTGTTGGAGCCTCTTATTTATAGGCAAAGTGGGCCGAAGCTTTTGGAGGGAAAACAAAATAATTTGAACAATTTGGGTAAACTTCTCTTTGCAGCCTTTGAGGGGCAGTGCTTGTATGATATTTCGGTGCAAGAATGGGGCAGTGTTTCAGGACTGTTATGCAGCAGTTTTGGCCAGTGTACCATGTCTGAACTTGGCAGCAAGCATCTTTGAATATTTTTTCATTTTGACCCTCCTTCGACCAGATTCTTCTTCCAACACATTGTTTGACTTTCCTCCAACAAGTGTCCTTCGAACGAATCATCTTTGTGCATCATTTGAAGGGGCCAAATGTGTGCTTCAAATGGACTAGTAAGGCGTACCCTTCTACAGGGACTCATATGTATGCCCCTCAAGTCCACCACTACATGTCTTTTGAGGGGGCCATCAACCATGTGCTGAAGTTTGTCAAGGATGGAAATGCAGCATACTAAAGAGAAATGTTGTCCAGTCGAAGCTAGTACAAACATAGTCGAAGCCTGCATGGAGGAGGTCTAAACTTTGTGACTCCAAGCAAGCACACAAAAAGGTCAATGCTCAAACAAATAATTGCACGAAGGGAGCCACATTACCAAACGAATCTTGGATCGAAACAAATATATTGCCCAATCGAAAGCCTGTGTTCGAAGGAAACAATGTTGCCCAATCGAATCATGTGGATCGAAACAAACATATTTCCCAATCGAAAGCCCGTGTTCGAAGGAAGCAATGTTGCCCAATCGAAGCATGTGGATCGAAACAAACATATTGCCCAATCGAAAGCCCGTGTTTGAAGGAAGAAATGTTGCCCAATCGAAGCATGTGGATCGAAACAAACATATTGCCCAATCGAAAGCCCGTGTTCGAAGGAAGCAATGTTGCCCAATCGAAGCATGTTTGCAGGCAGTAAACTTGTCCAGTCGAAGCAGGCTTGCAGGCAGCAAACTTGTCCAGTCGAAGAAGGCTTGCAGGCAGCGAACTTGTCCAGTCGAAGCAGGCTTGCAGGCAACAAACTTGTCCAGTCGAAGCAGGCTGAATCGAAGGAGGTTTCAAATCCAAACGAAGGATGTACCTAAACTTGCATTCGAAGGAGACTAAGAGTCAATCGAAGAGTGTTGAATCGAAGGAGACCTGTCAGCACATGAAATCAAAGAAACAAAAAAAAAACACACATTTCATGCTTGATTAGAAGTTAGTGATACATAGGCTAAGAATGTTCAAAACACTTGACAATTTCTGCATAATCAATGCTCGAAGGTGAGAGGTTAAAACTGACTGTATTTAGTGAACTTGACTTTTGTATAAAAATGCAAAAATAAAAATGGGATCTTAGGTCAAAAATTGGGGTATGACAGCTGCCCCTATTTAAGTTTCTTCTATATAGAGATATGAAGATTGGGATCTTCATTTCGACGAGATTGAAGGGACTTAAATATAGAATACACAATTTTTGGCTTTAAGATACCGCAATTATGTTTATGATATGGTATGAATGTAAGATTTTGAATTTAACAAGGAATGATGCCGTATGAAACAAACTACTACTGGAGAAACCAAGCACAGTAATCACATAGGGGAAGAGATTATAACTCAACTGGGGAAACAAGAGTCATAGGCTTCAAATGAGAGACTCTTGAATGATTTACATCAGTATTGAGACTGGAAAAGAAATGATTGACATAAGTACTGAGACTGGAAAAGGAAATGATTGACATCAGTACTGAGACTGGAGAAGGGAAATGATTGACATCAGCACTGAGACTGGCAAATAAACATCTCTGACTTCTAAATTATACCAAGAACGGTAACACATTTCTTCTTTAACCAAGATATCGCTTCAAAAGGATAAAATACAAGCTTCCCCATGGAACTCTTCCAAAGAGGTGTCGTTTGCTGAGTAAACATTATTGTTGGGGATACACAAGCTGCTCAAATAAAGAGGCCGCCACTTGCTATCTTTCAAAGGTGTCAATAACATACAAGTTGCTCATGAAGAGACCGCCGCTTGCTGTTTTTCAAGAGAACAATAACACACAAGTTTCTCATGAAGAGACCGCCACTTGTTGTTTTTCAAGAGAACAATAACACACAAGTTGCTCATGAAGAGACCACCGCTTGCTGTTTTTCAAAGATATAATAACACACAAGTTGCTCATGAAGATACCGCCGCTTGCTATTTTTCAAAGATAACAATAACATACAAGTTGCTCATGAAGAGACCGCCGCTTGCTGTTTTTCAAGAGAACAATAACACACAAGTTGCTCATGAAGAGACCGCCGCTTACTGTTTTCTCAAAGGTATCAATAACATACAAGTTGCTCATGAAGAGACCGCCGCTTGCTGTTTTCTCAAAGGTATCAATAACATACAAGTTGCTCATGAAGAGACCGTCGCTTGCTGTTTTTCAAGAGAACAATAACACACAAGTTGCTCATG